GCTCGTATGTAGCTAGCGTTCTCCCAGCGGCTGTGTCGTGTACACATACCCATAGAGACCAAACCCTGCTATATACACTGCGTTTTTGGAGAGGACTGAGGGCACACGTCCTGCACTGATGAAGGGATAGAAAGGATGTTTTGTAGGTGGCTGTCGGAGTTGCTGCTGAATTTGCTTTAATTCTTTTGGGATTTTATTGTACTAGTGGTGTGTTAGAGCATCGAGAGCCTTGGATAGGTGTCTTTTTAAGTCATTATTTAAATCTTAAAACTATACTACTCCTTGATGAAAGAAGTTACTCCTTTAGCTCCAGTGGAAAGACTTCGCTTTTGATATGGAAGATCTCAGGTTCAATCCCCCCTATGACCATGATGCCTTTACGTCTGTAACCAGCATTTGTTTCACTTCCCATTCTCTGTTACTATTGTAGCTCCCCGGAGCAAGAGCGTGCTGTAGTGACGCTAATATCCCCTCTAGCTCATATATGCAATCATATACTAAGTACTCAAAGACATAGACGAGCTACACAATTAAGGGTAGAAGGTGGCATAGAAAACTTCTGAGAGAATAGAAAAAAAACCCACTCCCCCCGAAATAGCTTGATGCACTAAGATTAGTAAAGGGAAATATTTTTAGGGAAGGGTAAATGGGTTTGGGGAAAAATAAGAATTCCTCCAAATTTTTGCCCATGTTTAGAATCAAACTGAACCTCTTTGGCGGTTCTGAAATGTATGGAAAACTTCTTCAGAATATTTTCCCCAGGCCCTTTGTACTTCTGAGGCCCGGGCTAAAACAGAGGAATCATAAATCTTGTGAGAAAGTTTGTTCTCATGACATTCCGAGCCCAGTCTCACATACCCAGCATGTCTGTATAATTCAAATAAATACCCAGATGGTTGGGTACTTGTTTGAACTCTGAGCTTTTGGAGGTTCACTGGTATATGCGGGATGGATATCACTCTAGGGGACTTATATGCCCCCCCCTTACTGCAGTATCTGAGCAGCTCATGATATTTAGTGTGTTTATCCTTACACCACTCCCATAAGATAGGGAAGTGCTATTATCCCCATTGTATAGATGGAGAACTGAGGAATTAAGTGATTGGCCCAAGCTCAGAAAGTCTGCAACAGAACAGGGAACTGAACCCAGGTCTCCTGAGTCCCATGCTAACGCCCAAATTACCAGACCATTCTTCCTCACACAGACCACTAGAGTCTAATGTGCTCTTCCTTTATTAAAGCCATCTTCCAGGGAGCCCACAAGAAGAGGATCATAACACTTAGGGTGGAATTTTCAGAGAAACCTAAGGGGATTGGGCACCATTTGCCTTAGCTTATGTAAAAAAGGGGGAAAACCCCACCTCTGGATGTCCTCCTCGCCTCTGCATTCCCATGTTTTAGGTGTCCTGACTCAACTTTTTTATAGTTTGGACCATATTTTAATAGAATATACATTCTCATGTCACCTCCGCTCCCATTCTCGATGACACAGACCACTTACTCTCCTGTTACATGGGATGGCTAGTTGGCAGCCGGTATCAAGTGGAGTGCCCCAGGGGTCAGTCCTGGGGCCGGTTTTGTTCAACATCTTTATTAATGATCTGGATGATGGGCTTAATTGCACCCTCAGCAAGTTTGCAGATGACACTAAACTGGGGGGAGAGGTAGATATGCTGGAGGGAATGGATAGGGTCCAGAGTGACCTAGACAAATTGGAGGATTGGGCCAAAAGAAATCTGATGAGGTTCAGCAAGAACAAGTGCAGAGTCCTGCACTTAGGAAGGAAGAATTCCATGCACTGCTACGGGCTGGGGACCGACTGGCTAAGCGGCAGTTCTGCAGAAAAGGACCTGGGGATTACAGTGGATGAAAAGCTGGATATGTATCAGCAGTGTGCCCTTTTTGCCAAGAAGGCCAATGGCATATTGGGCTGTATTAGTAGGAGCATTGCCAGCAGATTAAGGGACGTGATTATTCCCATCTATTCAGCACTGGTGAGGCCACACCTGGAGTATTGTGTCCAGTTTTCGACCCTCACTACAGAAAGGATGTGGATAAATTGGAGAGAGCCCAGTGGACGGCAACGAAAATTATTAGGGGGCTGG